TGAAATCGCGATCGCGATCGAAATTGGATTCCGATGACGGCGCTTGCGACGAGGACGCGAGGTGTTCGGCGGACGGGAACGAGATGATGAGGTTTTATCCGCTGGGACCGATTCCGGGAGGGATTAACGGCGGCGCATGGGTTTTTCCGGGAGGTAAAGGAGCGGCGGTTTGCACATTTTCCGGGAGCGGTGAAGCGCACGATAGCACAGGCGGCGGAGGAGGGAGGAGAGCGATGCTGATTTGTAGAGTAATCGCGGGTCGGGTTGCTAAGAAAGGCGAATTCGGGTCGGATTCAGTAGCGGGTCGAGCTGGTGAGTTGATTGTCTTCGATGCACGCGCTGTGTTGCCTTGTTTCCTAATCTTTTTCAGATTGTAATTATAAAACAAACAAAAAAACATTATATATTTTTGGTTTATTTGGTTTGACAAAAATCTGCTTCGAATTTCTTTAATTTTATTTTAATATATATATTTCATTTGGTTTCAGTCTACATTCTCACCGTTTATAAATTAAATAGTTACTTTTCCTATAAAAATATATATTAATTCTATTCAAGTGATGTTTTGATATTTGAATGCAAAATCTTAAATATATATTCAATTGATTTTGTTTCTTTTTTGTCGTTTAAAGTCACTAATAAATGAGCATCATAAATACACCCATTGGTCTATATAATTCGTTGACTGCCGAAGAGGCACCTCACATGCAAATCATAGTAGTATACAGTATTCTTGTTAATCGTTAATGCTATTATATCTTTCTTTCTTTTGCTAATTGTTAATTTAGTGAAAAAAAATAACTTACAGAAAGTATTTGATGTCTGGTCTTATTAAAAAGTAATGTGAGAAATGAAGAGGAGTTTTTAGAACAATGATGCACAATGAGTAAAATGTGTTAACAAAGGATACATATACATTGTGATTTGGACCAAATAATGATGTGAGATTTTGTAAAGATTATAGGTTTTGATTCCGAACGATATATAGATTCTTGCCTTTTGAATTTTATGCAAAAATACATGCATGATGAATTGTAATAAGATGATAGATTGTCTTGCTTTGATCGAGTTTTAAAAGTGCAACAGGGTCAAAAGTCAAAACAAAACATGAAAGCATCTCAAGTTTTGTTATTGAAGCATATGCAAAAAAAATCAAGGCCTTTAGTTCGATTGGAAAAATAAGTGTAAAATCTACAAATTATAAGATTGAATGGTATTTGGAAGAAGATCATATTATAAGTTATATGGTCTCGGCTGACAAAGATGTACAGATCTCGGTTTAAAACCTTCTAATCATTAGAAAAACATATATTAACATATTTGTTAAAGTTGTATGTAGCCATTTTCTCTAAACAAAGATGTTTGATTTGTTTAACAGAAGACAGTGTTTGGTTTTAAAAGTTGAAATAAGAATGATATGAACATTTTTGTTACGAAAAATAATTGTTTTAAATGTACGTAAAAACTAATATAATAATTGAAAATATATTTTTTCACCATTTAACCGTACTTATTATTTGTTTTATTCATTTTTATATTGTTTTTAATTAATCAACATCGTTCTGACTCAGATCAGCGTAGATTTGAGTTCCATACAATCCACTTTAACATTTCTAACATAAGTTAGTTATGGATTGATTGTACTTATTTGTTGGTGAGGCTAGATTTAGTTTGACTCAAAAAAACGTGATCAGACGAAGATAATCATGAAAATGGAGATTTGGTGGAAGACTAATACTATACATTATGATCTATAATTACAATACCAAGTGGAAATCCTAATAATAGCTCTGCATATTTTTAAATATTTGATTCCTATGTAATAATGTTGTTGAACTTGATTATATGTAATACAAACATAAAACAGACAATACATGTGGGTTAGAATATTAACTGGCCCAGATACAATTTTGAAATTGTTAATTGCAGCAGCATTTGCTTTCAAGCAACAATTTGATATCAAATTATCGTTTATATCCGTTTTTTTATTTTTCTGTCTACTGTTTCGTAGCATTCATATTAAATTATAGGAAATCTAAAGCTTAAGTTTATCCACTCATTGAGGTCATCACGAGTTCAAAATTTGCAAAGGTACATATAGAAAATCCTGCTCGAACATATGACATACTTCATATATTGGATTTACTAATTATTTGGATTGAATACAGAAAACTAAATGCCTCATTTTTCGCTTTTATGTTAAGTTCGAACTTTTCCGATCCCAAAATATTACTATAACTTTTAAAAAGAACTGCATTTTGGTAAGATAAATATTCCCTTTTAGTTCCAAATAATAATATATTATAGTAGGTATTTTTTCATCAAACCATGAGATGAGAGAGACAACCAAACAGATAGGAACGAGAGACAGAAGTAAAACACAAGTAATTAACATTTGTTAAGTTTGAGACTTCAATTTCAAGTTTTCTTTAGCTTTTTTTGAACCCATTCAACCTCTCATATTTGTCCAAGCATGAGCCTCTAATTTTATAATTATAACCATTCGTATATATATAATTGGTATTTAAAGGTGTGCATGACATAACCAAAATGTAAAAAACAAATTGGTGTTGAGAACCAAACAATAAAACCAAATTTAGATTATTGTTTGAATAAGATATACAGGTAACAAAAACATAAATGAAATTATTTATTTATTAGGTTACGAACCCGTCTTGATGTGGAAGTATTAGCTTATACGTTGATAGAGCATTAGAGCTCATTATGATTAATTTAGTATCCTAATTGTATTGTACAGTAGAATCTCTATAAATTAATACTCGATAAATTAATAATTACTATAAATTAATAATTTTTACCAGTCCCACGTTGAGTCAGTGTAAAAATTGACAAAATTCGATAAGATAATAAGATAATATTTTTTTTAAAGTTCTATGTAAAAATATGGTCCCAATAATAATATAAATTAATAATTATAAATTTAGATATATATTCATAATAGAATATAATAAACTATAAATAATATTATTGTTTCAAGTTTATAAAATTTGTTTGATTTATCTTCTAAATTCATTATTATTACATTTCTGAATGAATTTTACATTATTAAAAATATGATTTTATTTTTATGATGAATATTAAAAATTTAAACTAAAATATCTTTATAAATTAATATTTATTAATTTATCGATTAATTAATAATTCTATAAATTAATAAAATTTGAGAGTCCTAACATTATTAATTTATAGAAATTTTACTGTATACTTTCCAGATTTAATAAAGTGCTAACATAGAATATAGCTTTCTTGTATACTCCTTGCTAATTGTCAAGGTATATCCTCCGGGTCCATGAATTCGTTTAACATATAGATGGAACACGTAGTTTTGTAAAATCCATATTTAAACTATAACTAGAACTAAATTTTGGACCTGCGGGCAGGTTTTTTTTATAAAATATTTTTGGACCATAGCAAAAATCGATTTGTATTAAATTTTTGTTTAAAAAAAATTAACTTATATTATTAAATCCAAAATTGTGGTCCAAACTGAAATTTTTTATTAGATTATATAAACTATTTTTACATTTTTGGTTTTATGTTCTTAAAATTATTTTGGTTTGATTTTATAAGAAAATATATTTTGATTAGTGGATTTTCTTTAAAGTTTTGTAACAAATATTTCAAAATATTATGTTTTATAATGCAAGAGATATTTTATTTTTTTGTTATTAAAATTTCGATATTTACTTAGGCTTTGTTTGTTTTTGCGTCCCAATATTTATATTTGGATGCAAAAGCTCAAATATTATTTTTAAAAAATATTTTTAAATCAGTATATGGATGTTGTATCTGGATACAAAATCTCTAATATCTCAAAATTTATATATTTAAGATACTAAAAAAATAGAATTTGGATGCAACATTTGAATTTTAAAAATTAATAGATCAAAACACCCTTTAATTTAAACCACAAAATCAAGTTTTTTTGTCAAAACTTTAAAATCAGAGCTTTCTATCAAAATAAAAAGCCGCATTTTCTTGCAAAATCGTAAAATTACATTATTGTACCAAAATCGGGAATTCCCATAGAAACTGTAAAAATAGTAGTTTCATCAAACCGTATTTTCCTGCCAAAACTGTAAACCCACATTATTTAACAAAACCAAAAATTATGTTTCTCCTCAACACTAAAAAACCAAATTTTTAAAATTACGTGTTTTTGTTAAACCTACAAAATTGCGCTTCTCGTCAAACCCGCAAACCTGTATTTTCAATAAAATTCATAAAATTATATTTTCCATCAAAACCTATAAAATCCACAATTCCTCTTTTGACTACATATTTCCACTAAAATCTGTAAAACCCATAAAATCCGCAAAACTGCATTATTCGCATTCTGTGAACCCGTGTTTTCCTGTAATTCCTCTAAATCTGTAAAATCTTGATTTACGACTAAATTTTTAAAATCATGTGTTTCTGCTAAATCTACAAAAGCACATTTCTTGTCAAACTAGCATTTTCTCGTAAATATATATTTTCCGTTAAAACTTATAAAATCTGCTAAAACTTGTAAAACCCATAAAATCTACACAATTGTGTTTGTCAAATCCGCAAACCCATGATTTTCCGCAAAAAAAAATCATTAACAAACCATATGTAACTAGAAAATACTGATTACATATTCATTATTGACTATAAATTGTCACATTTAATAAATATCATAGTAGCTATTATATATTTTAAAGTAGTGATTTACTTTTAATTAATAGTATAGAGAAAAAAATTAATTATAATATCATGTCATATATATGTGATAGTTATGTTAAGATATTATGAAATATTTTAAAATAATTTCAAAAATAAATTAATTTGAATTTTATTAGTATCATATATAATTTATTGGTATAATCTGTTAACAAACTAATATAATTTAATTTAATTTAATGCATTTATTAATAGTTTATGATAAGACAAAATTACACTTAATGAAATGATTAAATTTTTTAGTGAATCTAATGACACATTTCATAAATATTATAGTAGCTTTTGGACATTTCAAATTAATGATGATCTTTTAATAGTATAGATTAACCGACCAATTTTCTCCGATTTACAAAATAGCACGTGATAAATAATGACATCATCGATATTCAACGAGCACACACAATGGCTTTCCCTCTAATCGCTCCTTTCCCTGCATATTTTTCACCGTTTAATTTTCAAATTACACTTTGCAAGAAAATAACATAAACCTTTAGGTACTTAAATATATACATTTTCTATGAATTATGAAGCTGACCAGAAGATAAAATTCCGGGAATATGTTACCTTTAATTCGGGTAACTCGGTAACGCATGCACACTCAACGACTTCCGCTCCAACTCGCTCTAACACAGTCCAAGACTCCAAAAATATTCATCAAGATTTTTGAAAATATTTGAGTTTACTCATCAATCGGTTAGGCCTAAGAGTAAAATTGCCCAATTTAGCAAAAACAAGAAAAGAATGCCCAATTTGGCTTTTGTTTAGGAACTGTTAATCTACTTTCGATGTATATAGAAAATATTAAAATATAAACATCTATTTCAATTTGTTATGGTTTCAGTTTCTAACTTTGTCGTAAGTAGTAACCGTCGGCATATCGTCTTGGCGGTAATTTTCAAAAATATTAGATTTATGTTTTATTTTCCAAAATACTACTAAAATAAATATAAAAAAATAAAAATACCAGAAAAGTTAGTAACTTCTTAAAACTGACGAATTTTTAAAAAAAATCTGGTACTTTGGAAATTAAATAGAACTTCTTTTGTGGTAGTTTAGGATATTTTTCTTTATTATATATCTATGTTTGGTTGTTTTATACCAAAGTTTACCCAACTTTAGTTTTAGCTTGATCAACAAGTAATTTACAGATTTAGAAAAGTGACAAACATATTTAAATAAATTGGAAGAAAATTGAAGAGCCCTATAGTTAGATAGATGGTAATAATTCAGCTACTGTGCTATATATATATATATATATTGATAAAAAAGGAGAATTTTTTTACCGATCAAATTCACGGCGGCACAGAGAGTTCCGCCGGTAGCAATCAAATCATCGACCACCAATGCTCGATCACCGGAATCCACTGCTCTGGCATGCATCTCCAGCCGGTCACTTCCGTACTCTAACTCATACTCTTCAAATATTATTTCGCCTGATTATATATTAACCATATATATAATTAGACCCCCATACTTGATATGCTAAGCATTACTTAACACTACTTTACACATTATAGCTTGACATATACGAATACTAAAAATAAGAATTTATATATGTTATATTTCAAAGTTTGGAAATTGGAATGGTATTACCGGGCAATTTCTTTGGTTTACGAAGGGGTACGAATTTTGCTCCAATGGCTAGTGCGATGGGCGGACCGAATATGAAACCGCGAGCCTCTATACCTAATAAATAAATAAAGAAATTAAAAACAAAGTATAAGGGTTTTAATTTTTAACTTTCATACGTATATATATTTTTTGTCTTTTTTTCTTTCGTATTTGTAATAGCAATTAGGGTCAATATGAATAGAACCCTACGCGCATGCGAACCATGAGAAACCCTAATTCTTCGAAACTTAAAAGAAGATGCCTCGAAAACATTTTTGAAAAGGAAGACGCAAAAGTCCAAAGCATTGACTTTAACAAAGGAAAAGAAATAATGTCCAAATAATTGACTCTTTTTTGTATAGAGCAAAAGGCATGGGCCAGATTCTAGAGCACACAGGCCAACACAAGATGATACAAACTTTACAAAGGATCAAATTTACATGGATGTGAACTTGTTACATACTTACATTTAGATATATAATCTATCAGATTCTAAATACCTCACTCCCTCGAAACTAGTACATGTGTGTGTGCGTGTGTGTGAGAGTTAAATTTATTGGAAACTCATCGTAGTGAGGTACATAGTTCATCAAAACCGTCTTTAAGCTAGCTCAAAAATAAAATGTTCTTCACTATTTTCTTTGAATATTTATTGAAATTAGAGTACTCCATAATCATTAGATAAAAAGAGAAGTAAAACGTCTATATGTTTGCTACCAAAAATAATTGCACACGGCCTTCAATTAGTTTGAAACTACAACGTATTTTATGACTAAAAACATTAGAAATTACTGTATAGGGCTAACACATACATATATATATATATATATATTAACTTCATACTATTGTATATTGTCCCTAAATAAGTACGTAATCATTGTACTGCGACTTGTATTCATAGTATAATTTCTCCATTAAAAACTACATCGTTACAATCTCCTTGGCTAAAATTGGGAATCATAGGCGGAACCATATATTAAGTGGTGTGATTATCACACCAACATTGTTATGTACGTATGTCAACGTAGGATAGAGTCGTATGTACGTATGTAAACATAAGATATAAACCTACTTGTCAATTATATCCTCTCGATCGTCATTGTTATTCACCCAATATAGAAAGAAAGAGGGCCGTTGAATAACAATGATGAGAGGAAAATAGAGTAAGCTTTATTTAGGGGCCAACCCTTTTAAAAAGGTGGCATCCGTTTTAACTCAACCACCCGTTTTTCCAAACAAGATTCCACCAGTTACACAATGACTAACTGAATTTATGAACTACAAGAATGAAGTTGAAATTACCTTTCATTTGGTGAATTTCAGTTTCGTATATATAATAAATATTAACATAAAACCTTTTTATGCATTTTCTCGTTTTTTTGGGAGTTTATTAAGTTTAATTCAAATATAGAAAACATAAAACCTGGAATTTGGTAGACTTGTTGTAACATTGTTAGTTTTTTACCACTATATATGGTCCAATAGTTTGATTATCAATCATGATCCTAAACAATAGATATAAATCAACTATACCCAATTTTGACCGTATCTTATTAAAAATGAAAGTCATCAACATAATTAAACTTTTTTTTGCCCACGCGAGGTTTATAAATTAATTAATTAAAATAAGATAAAGCAAAGAATGAATTACTTTTGTTTTGTGCTTTTTATTTATAAGAATATAAGAGAGTACCTGCAACCACCGAGATGTTCATGTCTCGATACCTCTCAACAAACAGATCAATAGTGTCTTTAAAAGACTTAGAATCTAGCAGCAGTGTTGTTATGTCTTGGAACATTATTCCTGTAATTTCCACATTAATATAAACATGTACATTTATAATCCCAAAAACAAATACACACATATCATTAATCAAGAAAACAGTTCTTGAATTGTATCCATAAGTTCGCTAGTCGTGTAAGAAGTAAGAACATTTGACTGTGATAAGTCTCCTGAGTGGCGGTGACCACAATATTACAATTTTCTCAGCAACCAAAACAATAAATTAAAAAGAATATTGTTTTACCACTGAGGATGAAACTAAACTCATCACACAGTCACAAGAAAAGGTCGAAGAGGAGATAGAGAGAAAAAAAAAAAGAAGGAAAACTACCTTTCTTGGGAAAATCTGGAACGACACGGATCTTAGTTTTAATTCCGTCGATACGAGAATCCTTCACTTCGTTCACAGACATTTTCAACAAACTCACCCAAAAGGGAATGTTCGCAAGTCTTTTTCTGTTTGAGAGAGAGAGAGAGAGAGAGAGAGAGAGAGAGAGAGAGAGAGAGAGAGTGCAGAGAATGAAAGAAAGGGCGTTACTTATTACTTATATACAGAATAATTTTTTGTGATATTTTTATTTTCAAACTTTTGTAACCTGTGACAAAAAAAATGAGTAAAAGCTTATTAGGTCTAATGGTTGATCAAATTTTTATAAAGTTTCTTACATTAGGTTTGCAATTTGGGTATTAGAAAATGTGAATTGTGCAGATTAATTGAAACAAATTTATAGAAGATCATTTCCAATTTAGTGAAACTAGAGTCAATCCTTATGGTTTATGTGTATTAAGACTTTTACAAGAAACAAAAGTCACAAAATTAATATAACTGAATACCGAAATCGAAATTTGGGCCCTTCACTTGAGCCTTGATCCTACCCAAACTTGAGCCTTCAATGATCACAGCCAAACTTGGCTACTTGATCTTGACTACAAACTTTTCATTTACCAACATAATCCACACTTGGCTACTTGATCTTGACTATAAACTTTTCATCTACCAACCTAATCCTCATCCAAATCCTAACTATAAGATCCATAGTGAAGGGAGGATATAGAGTGGGAGATCTATAGTAATAGATATCTTTTGACACTTTTATTTCAAAGAAGAAAAGCAAATTTCAAATAAATAATGTATTAAAAAAAAGGAAAAGGAAAGTCACATCTTCTAATCTTATTTTATGTTTGGGACAGTCGTTCAAATAATAAAAAAGCCTAAAAGGCAACCACCTTTTGAATTGTGATTGGTCATTATCCATTATCCATTTCCTCGCTCCTTTTTCATGTAATTTGTGTTGTGTGCTGTTATTTTCTTGCGATTTTGTTTTCTCTATCAATAAATGTCTTGAACATGTACTGTGTCACCAATTAAAGAAAAAAGACGGGACTAAATTATGTCTTAGTTGTGTGATAAATAAATTCTTTGTCTAAAAACTAAATTTTGCTTTGTCCCATTTCAAAAAAAAAAAAAAAAAACTAATATCTTTGTCGTTGTCGTCTTAGTTGAAATTTTTATTTTTATTCATAATTTTCGGACGTAGTGGCGAGTATGACCCGATAACGAACACTATCAGGCCCATGGGCTGATAATAATCTACCTTTTTCTTTTGTAACGACTAATGATCAAATTTTCAAAATGAAGAATCCAATTACCGTTTGATTTCAAAGAAAAATAATTTAGTTACTTAGTAAGATGTTGAATCTATACAAAAATGAGTAATGTTGTTGATGGTAGATGCAAATTTGAGTAACATGTTTAGGGGTGGATCTTTTGTTTATATTCTTTGTAATCGGTTCGGTGAACATGATTCTAGTAAGACTTTAATTGGTTCGATTTCTAACAACAATCTTTTCGGCTTAGTTCATTTTGGTTATGTTTTTGTTTAGTTAGCTCGTTTAACGAAAATATAACGAAACGTCAACGAAAGCCATTCGAAAGATTGTTTGATTAGGGTTATTATTTTGTTGTACAGTTTGTGTCTTTATGTTTAATTCGGTAGAGTTTTGTTCGGTTCGTATAAAATGTCCCCATCCTAACCGGAAATTGATTTTCGATGGGCCACCCGACTAATGCCTTTCATCAACCAAATGTGTTTGTATTAATGTGATTAGTTAAGCTTTACTTTTTTATGGGACATCACAATTACAAACATTTTCTTATTTTTTTGACATCCACACAATGACAAACATATATATATATATATATATAAATTATGAACACAGCCAAATAGAGTGATGTCAAGAACATTATATTAAAATCTTGTTACAGAAATTAACATTACATTTATACAATGTTCTCTTCCCTTCCCTCAAGTGTCGTCTTCAGTAGATACACATATTATTAGTCTGTAATAAGATTATTAATGATTAACCCACCAATACTAAAATCATCAATGAGTTTGGTAGGCACCGTCTTTCTTCTAGTAAGTATAATTCATTATATTAGTTTGTTCTCCGTACAGTTTTAAATTTGATATATCAATTATAAAAACAATTATCTTTTACGTATATTTTAGCTAAATTAAAAATGTTGAATTTTCAACTCCAAAAACCCGTGAGGTATTTTAAAATTGAACTTGTTTGAATGGAGTTAGAATATAGGAAGAAGGAAATCATGCATGGTTCATACATCCTAAAATACTAAATAATGGTTATTAAAAAACACTAAATAACAAAATTAACTTAGCGTGTATTACTACGTTAATGACGCAATTCTAAAACTTGTTAATTATTTAGTATGATAACTACATTTATACCCAAACGTAAATTATGTCATATAATTTGATGTTTTAAACACAGTACGATAGAGATGTTTTGATATATAATGACTGAACTTTTTTATATATAAAAAAAAAATGACTGAACTGTTTCACTGGTTCTTTAGCTTCCTAGGGAAACTCCAATGAAGATTCTCTGTCAGAGACTTATGTTTTCGTGACTCGTTGTAAACTGTAAAGTGTAACTTCAGTGTTGCACGTGACAAAGTCCCAGTGGTTAAAAGAAACAAATTATTTGGGGGTATTACTGTAAAAGAAATTTTGAGTAGATAAATTAACTCATATGCTTTTGTCAATTTTGGAAAAATTACTGTGAAAGAAAATATCAAGAAAATTTTATTTAATAACTAAATTTAAGCAAATATCCCGAAATCATCATTAGCAAAAAAAGAGAGAAAAAAAAGCAAATTTCCCAGAAAGAAATGAAGAAATACACTTTCAGCTATCGGTAAACCGCAAAACGACGATACAATAAGAGCAAAAAAAAATCAGAGCCATTTAGTCTCGTGTAGGGACCCACCAGCGTTAATTTTCGCTCTTTTTAAAAAGCCTGTGATTTTTAATCCCTTTTTCCAACTAACTCCGTTTCTGACCGTTAACTTTAATCTCAATTCTCCAACTAGTCTAACTTGTGATTTAACTGATTTTACCTTTTAGCCCTCCAAGATCCACGTGACTAGCACTTTTCTCCCCAATACATTACACAAGACCCCCGTGGCCCAAAGCCCACTTACACATTTTTTGTACGTGATCATCCTCCTCATTTTCAGTTTACACACGAAAATACGAAATGCCACTGTATTTTTATGATAGTTTGGGCTATTTATTTTTTATATTCAATTATAAATATTTACATTTATATTTTCTTCTTCTTAAAAAAAAATCTTACTACACACTACAGTTACCTATGCAATAAGAATTCTGTGTATATTTCAGACTTTTAAAAAAAATAGTGGGGAAAAAATCTTATCATCGCGAACGTTGTAAAGCGAGGATTTTGTAAAGCGAGAAAGACAAAAGTGAACAAATAAAAGGCAGTTCCTTTGTTGCCTTTTCAAGTATAAAGGGCCCATCTAAGGCCCAGCTAACACGTGGACGCGTCTACATTTCACTCCAACACGTGTCGTCTACGCTCCTTTTAGTCTCTTTTGACTCACTGCCACGTGTATGTTGATGGACCAGCAAGTAACAACCAACGTCCTACCGTTATACTAATCACACTTAACGTTTTCTGTTATGACTTATGAGGTAAAAAAAACCACAGTTTAAGAATTTTTTAAAAGTTGTGGAGTTTGAGCCGTTGATGTAGTGAATCTGACGGCTAATTCGTAGTTTCCTCATTTTTTGTCGTTTTTGTGATCGGTCATGGATATACAGTGTTAGAAATTAGGTGAATGAGGTAATAACATAAAAATGGGATAAACAATGTCGAAAATAAAATACGCTTAGCATTAGAAATTTACTGAAATAATCGGGGTTTAATCAAATAGATGACAAGCTTTTTCAAAGTATGATAAACAATCTGGTTAATTCGTTCTAAAATATTATAAAAGTTGAGAAATTTGGTGCTAATTAAATGGTAAATGTTTGTTCAAAAAAAATATATTAAATGGTAAATGTTAATAAGATAAACGATCAGACGACGACAAAATAAAAAAAATTAATAAGATAGACGACTTTCATGGGACTTTTGAACAAACTGAATAAACAAATTACATTTATTTGTCCGACTAAAAAAAACTACCATAATTTGTATGATAGGAAGGTTCATTCTTCTACTATAATCTTTTTAATTAAATTATCCATCAACAACCGTACCAAAATCGTTTTCATTAAAGAAAATAATTGTCTATTGAACAGTTTTTAAAAAAAAGAGATGACTAGTCACAAACTCATCACGTACTTACTTTACATTAAAATAAAAAATATGTACACAAGAAATTAAATAAACGTAAACCATATGTAACGTGTTAATTATTGGTCGATCATTAAAAAAACACATTTCGTAAATAAATCCAACATGGATGGTGTTTTACAAAAAGAACAACAAAACGCGTGGTAACCTTCATAACCACGTCTCTTCATCTCTCTTAAGTTAAGTCTTATAGAATTTAATATTTTAATTAAAACCAAACCAAAGACAAAGAGAGTTCTATAAATACCCAAAACCCTCCGGTTTCTTCTTCTCCCCTTTCTCCTCTTCCTCCTACATTCTCGACTCTCTCTCTAATTAGTGTTTTCAAATAGCTTTAAACAAAACAAAAAAATCACAAAATCTATAATTTTTCTGCCATCTTTGGGATTTAGTTTATTCGATCAAAGGAAACAAAAATCCATTGTTCTGGAGATTTTTTTTTCCCTTTCCTTCCTTTGGAGCTCGTTTGAATCAGGTTTGAGTTCATTTCCGCGTTTTTCTTTTTTTCTTGGTGCTGTTTCAAGATCGCTTAATCATTTTATAGAAATTTTACGGATCTATTTAGTTCAGTTTTGTTTTTTGCTAAATCCTAATACGTTATAATTTTCTTGTTTTTCTTTACATTTCTCTTCATCGAATGGATATTTATCACTCTCTGCATTTTTAGATCCGTTTCTGTTTCCTCGTACATTTAATATCAGTTTCTGCAAAAATAGGTTATTTTGTAGAAAAAAAAAATTCGTCGTATTCGGTAAAAAGACGCACGCAATTTTGTCCGTACACCTAGAACTATGCACCTCGTATTAACGCATAAATCTGAAGAATAATTTTCAATGTACCAAAATTCTTCAGAACTGGAGAGTGATTTGACATGTTTAAACTAAATTCTGTACTTTATTTGTTTGTGATTTGTCGAGTTCTCGAGTGATGTTTTAGAAGTTTGTCGGTGTTCTGTTTTAAATATTAGACCTACCAAATAAAAAAATTTGGGTAAAAAGATTGTTGAAATTTCCGGTACTTGTCAAAATCACTGGACCCTTTATATAAATAAAAACATGAAGGTTACGACAAATAAAATCAAGACGATTTTATTGTTTTGACTTTTGACTGTTCTTTTTATTTTTCTTATATTCACTTCTGTTAAGAGTCATTAATTTTTTTTGTAGAAATGATAATCTCTTAACAAAGCATAGTTAAAATATATATATATATATATATATATATATCAAAGGTTGCAATATGAATGACTTTGTTTTCTGGTGTGTTTCACAGATATCAACCTGATTGAATCTGAAAGTATATCAAAGAAGACGACGATGAACAGTTGGAGATGATGATTAGGTACTGTAAAAACATAATCAAGGAACAGAATCTTATTGGAAAAAAAAAATCAAACTTTTTTCTGAATTCTCTTTTTTTTTTTTCTTTGTTCATCATAAGTTTTCAGGAAACTTTCGTTTAATGGAGCTTTCACCAACAAGCAGCGACAAGAAAACAATGAAAAGGTGGTTTTTCATAGACAAACGAGTTGGATAAAAAGTGTTTTTTTTTTTTTTTAAGATAAAGAAAAACCCCAAAAAAATTAAGTTCTTGCATCAAAGCATTTATAAGTCATGGAGTTAAACCCAAAGCACACATCCTCTGTTCTGAAAGATCCTACACCAACAACTAACAAATCAAGACTCGGCGTGTCATCCAAATTGGCATCCAATTCTGGAAGATTCATGATGACTCCATGGAAGAAACCTGCAAAACTCGATGATGTTAGATCCAACGGTTGGTTAGATGCAATGATTTCATCTTCTCCACCGCGTAAGAAGTTAGTTAAAGATTTCAATGTCGAGGTTGCTCCAGAAGATGATTTTGCTCAACGTGCCTGGATGGTACGTACAATATTTAATAATTTAATCTTTTTTTTTGGTAATAATGTTATTAATAATTTAATCTTAAATGTTTTTCTTGATTTATTAATTTTGTTATCCTCGCCATGTTCTTGAAAATCTGAAACAGCTCAAATATCCTTCTGCGATTAGCTCGTTTGCGCATATTGTAGCTCAAGCAAAGAACAAGAAGATAGCTGTGTTTCTTGACTATGACGGTACTCTTTCTCCAATAGTTGATGATCCTGATCGTGCCACTATGTCCGATGCGGTAAAAAAACTAAAACCCTTAAGTTAATGACTCTGTCCTGTTCTGTTTTTTTTTTGTCATCGAAACATTATGATTAATTAAAAGATTACTTCTTTTGGTCTCTTAGATGCGTTCTGCAGTTAAAGATGCCGCGAGTTACTTCCCAACTGCAATAATAAGCGGTAGAAGCCGTGACAAGGTAAAAATCCTAAACCGTATGTATATACTAAGATCCTAAGCCGTGATAAAGTAAAAAATCTTAAACGGCAAATCCTAAACCAGTAGAACATAAACCTAATACAGTTTTTGGTTGTATTCAGGTTTATCAGTTGGTAGGATTAACAGAACTTTATTACGCGGGTAGTCATGGAATGGACATAATGACTTCTTCTAATGATCCGAATTTTTACAAATCGTCTGACCAACAGGTAACAAATGATGATTTCATTAACTGTGTATTGTGCTAAATGATGATGATCCGAGTTAATTTTTTGTTGTAAACACATTTTTGTTGGGTGTTTATTAGGAAAAGGAAGTGAATCTATTTCAGCCTGCTAAAGAATTCATACCGATAATCGACGATGTTTTTAAAACGCTAGTTGAGAAAATGAAAGATATTAAAGGTGCAAAAGTAGAGAATCACAAGTTTTGTGCATCTGTTCATTACCGTAACGTGGATGAGAAGGTAACACAACAAAAACAAAACCGTTTGAGTTTTGCTTTAGACTTTGATGGATTTTAAATAAAAAACGTTTGTGTTTCTGTAGGATTGGCCAATCATTGCGCAACGCGTTCATGACCACTTGAAACAATACCCTCGTTTGCGTTTAACTCATGGGAGGAAGGTGTGATTAGCTTAGAGATCATTATTATACCATGTTCCTAATTAAAATTTCGACTTAAATTCTATAATTAAAGATGAATCATTTTTTGGTAATCAAGGTTTTAGAGGTTCGTCCTGTGATAGACTGGAACAAAGGAAGAGCGGTCGAGTTTCTATTAGAATCTCTCGGTATATATATACATTTAATCTTATGTTGCTTTCTCTCCTAAAAAACCATTGATTGTTTTACTAAATTTGTAATTTGATCAAATCTTGTTAGGATTAAGCAACAAAGACGATTTGCTTCCTATTTACATTGGAGATGACACAACTGATGAAGATGCATTTAAGGTAATTTATTTAACAATTAATTACAGTTTATAATTCGTTTAGAATAAAAACAACTGATCGATAAACACTATGAATCCTGTAGGTACTGCGAGATGGGAATCGAGGTTTTGGGATCTTGGTATCGTCTAAACCAAAAGAAAGCAATGCGTTTTACTCTCTTAGAGACCCATCTGAGGTAATAACATAAAACCCTTTAACAATTTCTTGAAATGGGTTTAATGCTACATAGTATTGATATATTTTGTAATTACTATCATTGTTTGTGTGCTTGATCTGAGCTAAATTGTGATTTGCAGGTGAAGACGTTTCTAAAGACTTTGGTGAAATGGGCAAAGCTGGAGAAGAACTCTACTGGTTTTTGATTGTTATAGTGGAAAACCTGATTGAAAGCTTATTTACCTTTTTTTATATTTTCTTCACCCTCAGAGTTTTAGTTACAGCTTAATGTATATGTTTTCATATATTTGTGGGAATTAAGATATGTAACTTTTTTAAAATATATTCCATGATTTTCCAAAAAAAAGACATTCTCCTTGCAACTCAAGTTGCTCATCAACTGTTATATCTTTATGTAATTATTTAAAGATGTTTATTCTATTAAATCAAACCGATCTGATCAAAATGGAACCACAAAGAAAATAAAGATGTTGTTAAACTTCATTTTTTTGACGTTGTTCTCTCTAGCATTTTGATAGTGTATGCGGGATAAGGATTAGGATATTATAAGTGTCTATTGTTACTGTTAGAATACTGTAAAACTAACTTAGTTTAACGTCTCAATATGTATTTAATAATACTTATACTATAGTATTAAAGTTGTGTAAATAAGATCTTCAGCTAAGAAACTATTCCACAAACATATTCCAAATTTGCGACCACAACAAACATACCACAGTTTAACAATAGAGTTACAACACTGCAAAAACTAAACCCTGGCCAAATTTTTTTTTTCCAGTTGCAAACATTCCCTAACAAACTACAAACCAAGAAAACATCCAACAAGATTTGTGGCTAAAGATTAGAAAAGGTTTAAATCGATTTGTAGAAAATTAGCTTCTGCTAGGGAGAACTTTTTGATTGGAAAAAAAAACCGATGTCATAATCCAATACTATTAGATAATTTTTAAAAAATAATAATTAATGGTCTTGTTATCTCACTTTCCCTTTCTCAACTCTTTCATCTATTCTCAGCATCGTCTTGGAAATTTCCCATCGAGTCCAAAATCCAGATGTTGTCGTCGTCTTTGACTCATCCTCAAAGATTCGATGTGTTCTTGAGTTTCAGAGGCAAGGACACTCGCCGGACTCTAATCAGCTTTCTCTACAAAGAGCTTACTAGAAATGGTCTTCGAACTTTCAAAGACGACATGGATCTTGAGATTGGCCGTCGTATCTCTCAAGAAATCTCGCTCGCAATCCAAAACTCGAAAGTAGCCATCGTGGTGGTGTCCCTGGGCTATCCAGATTCGGGATGGTGTCTCGATGAGCTCGTGGAGATCATGGACGCTGAAAGAAAAGGTTCGCTCGTCGTTATCCCAATCTTCTACGACGTGGATCCTTCTCACCTGAGGAGACAAATCCGAAAAGTCGCCAAACAGTTCAAGAAGCATGAGGAGAGGGAAGATCAACAAACTATGGTATCATGGAGACAGGCACTCGTTAGTCTGGCAGCTATCTCCGGTCAATGTTTACGAGATTGGTATCTTTCCTTTTGAAGCTTGTCTTTCTTTCTTTGTATTGCTTAGAACACTATAAGAAAACATTGCATATTTTGACAGACATTCTGACAGATTCTAATTGAATTTCATTATGTCGAAATTTCGTTAAAAAATTTTCATGGATTTCTGACGAGTCTAAAAATATATGTAAAGTATTTAGATTCATTAGAAATTCATATGGACTTTTTTTTTCCAACGATCTATATCTGATGGTCAAAATCTGTCAGAAACTCGTCGGAATTAGCCATTTCTGACAGATTCTTTCATAGTAATTAGTTGTTTTCTTTTAGTGGAAAGAATCAACTACGTGGAAAATTTCACTTGGATTTGTTGTAGGGCCTTGGGCATAAAGCGTTTCACAATGTTCACATGACTAGTTTGTTGATTCGTTTTTGTCTTTTTTAGGAAAGATGACTCGAAGCTGGTTGAAGAAGTTACCAAGAAAACATTCATGTTATTATTCTCTGCAAGACCACCACCATTATTACTAAGTAATATTTGTTGCATCACAAGTGTTTTTTACATGAACGTGATCGACGAGGTTTTTAGAACCCTTGTTGAGCAAATGAAAGATATCAAAGGTTCAAAAGTAGAGAATCACAAGCTATGTGCATCGGTATATTACCGTAACATTGATGAGAAGGTACACAAAACAGATAAAAAAAAAAAACATTTTTGAAAACTTTAGACTTTGATGGATTTGAAAAAGAAAAAATGTTTGTGTTTCTTTAGGATTGGCCAGTCATTGCTCAACGTGTTCATGACCACTTGAAACAATACCCTCGTTTGCGTTTAACTCATGGGAGAAAGGTGAAATTAACTTTTGGAGAGATATATACTTGTAATTATCATGTTTCTAATTAAATTTTTGACCTCAATCCTATAATTAACGATAATTTTGTGTGTTGGAATTATAGGTTTTGGAGGTTCGCCCTGTGATAGACTGGAACAGAGGAAGAGCGGTCGATTTTTTATTAGAATCTCCTCGTATGCATAATAATCTTTTAGTGTAACGAATCTGAATCCATATTTCTTGATTATGACGGATTACAAAGATAAACTCTGATTGTTTGAATACAAACCGACTTATCAATCTCCTGGCGATCAAGCATAGATCCATGAGACTCAAAACCTATATTCTTAAAAAAGAAAAGAAATATAGATCATGGCCTTTCTGATGTATAGTAACAACAAAAGACGCAAGAGAACTGTATCATATAAAGTTATAAAACAAAAACCAGATCCATTAAAAATATTACATGTCATCTTCGATCCAAAGTGGCTTCTTCTTCTTCTTCAATGTTTTTGTATCGAAACGTGACTGATTATTCGTCTTTTCACGTATAAGCAGAGACAAAGAAGCACGAGTGTCATCAGTCCCTACCAAACCATTTCTCTTTTGGGTTATCTCCAATTTGGGAATAGCAGCGACAAGACTTGTAGCTGGAGGAGAAGCTCGTGGGTAGAAGAAGTCGGTGGGGAAGAAACTATATTGAAGTCCGGCCATTTTCTATTTTTAATGTTTTCTCTTTTGTGAGTTTTAGGTTTGAGAAAACTTGTTCTCTGTGCTAAGAGTCTATTTATGGGCAAAATGGGAGAGAGGCAGAGAGCTGACTTTTACCTAAATGCGGAAAGTTAGGGGTGTAAAATGTAAACGTTTAAAAGAATAGGGCCTACTTTCTTGAAAATCTTGGGGGTCATTTTGTTCCGTATGCGAATCAGTTAGCATAAATCAGGATATTCGAATATTTCAGTAAATCTTGGGCGGTGCATGATTTTGTTATAAGAGTCAAATATCAAACTCAAAAAAACATTAAAATAAATAAATTAGATAGTGTGTTAAATGTTCATGAGTTTGGACGGCCACATGATTTTTTTCGTATTAATTATGTGAAAAATAAAATAAAAAGATAGCTAGTAATATGCCTACTTTTTTGTGTGGGCACAAATGATATTTGGTCATGTGTGTATCGTGACTGGTACATGATTCGTTCGTATAATACAAAGTAAAGTATATCTTTCTAATTCTATGTTACAATATACGAGAATAATATTTACTTGTTATTTAATTTTAAACTATATATCGTCGCCGGTTAAAACCTCATTTTTCTCTCGTCACACATTTTTATAATATAGGGATTGTCTTCTTATTACTCAAAAGAGACAACGCGATTATACAAATAAGCATGACGCGTTCTTCATGCCTCAGTAGGTTTGTGACAATTAGTATTTATAACTATATAGATAAGATAAGTAGTTTTGTTAACATGAGACCGCAATAATTGACTTGTTTCAAGATCAAGGATCATAAAATAATGCGTGTATACAAATTTTTCCTCCAGCTTTATTATGACTGATGAAGTTATGCTATTGTGAAAATTCTAACCAAAAACAACATTTGAAAAAAAAAACAAAAAATAACCATTACATCTCAATAGTCTAGTTATCAAAGAGATCCTTAAAGCTCTATTTTATAGAAGAACAGTAATTCTATGCTATTTAGCATAAGACATATTTTTTAACTATGCTGTAAATGTTGTAAACTAATATTTTATAAAGAAAAGCAAAGAAGAGTTTAAAATCTTTTGAACTTCAGAGAGAAAGAGAGAAAGATGAACATAAAAACTTCATTTCTTTCTTTTTCTGAACTTATGATTTTACAAAGAATGAAATCACCTATTTATAGGAAAAACCTTACTTCATAGTGAAGTAAGCTAATCTATAAAGACAAAACATATAGATAAACATTATCCATAACATATGGATAAACATTATCTAAAACTTATGGATAAGCATTATCTTTTAATATACTAATGTATAAAGACAAAAACAAATGGATAATCACTATCCATTTAACACTCCTCCTTGATTATCCATCACTAATGATATATTATGTACTGCTTCGTTAAAAACTTTATCATGAAAAAACCCGTGTGGGATAAAACCATGACAGGGAAAAGAGTGCAGTAGCGCTCCCCCTCGAAATGGCGCATGAGTATCTATCGCTGTGAAGTTGCGTGCTGCCTCGTTAAAAACCTTTCCATGGAAAAACCCAATGGGATAAAAACCATGATAACGGGAAAAAGAGTACAGCTAAAGCAAACTCCCCCTGAAAAAGATGGATCTCATCCTCTCTTCACAAATCTCGTAGATGCCGCATTCCAATACTATGAACATGTTTCTTGAATGTTGTAGTAGGAAGCGCTTTTGTGAAGAGATCAGCTGCGTTGTCACTTGAACGAACATACTGAATATCCACTTCCTTTTTCTTCTCGAGCTCTTGAGTATATGAGAAAATATTGGAGGGATATGCTTCGTTCTATCGCTCTTGATATAACCTTCCTTATTTTGAGCGACACAAGCAGCATTGTCTTCAAACACTTTTGTTGGTTCTTTGTCTGTGATTATTCCGCTTGCTTCTTGTATGTGATGAGCTATCGACTGAAGCCATACACATTCTCTGCATGCTTCATGAAGCGCAATAATCTCCGCATAGTTTGAAGAAGTCGCGACCAAAGTTTGCTTTTGAGATCACCAAGAGATCGCAGTTCCACCAAATGTGAAAACATATCCAGTTTGCGACCGAGCTTTATGCGGATCAGACAGATATCCTGCATCTGCAAAATCAACTAGACCAACCTCAGGGTTTCTAGAATAATATAATCCAAATTCAATCGAACCTTGAAGATAACAGAATATATGCTTTATTCCATTCCAATGCCGGCACGTCGGTGATGAACTATACCTTGCAAGTAAGTTAGTAGCAAATGCTATATCTGGTCTAGTATAATTTGCAAGATACATAAGGCACCGATATCGCTCATATAAGGTACTTCAAGACCTAATATTTCTTCGTTACCTTCACAAGGTCGAAATGGATCCTTGTCAACATCAAATGGTCTTTTGACCATTGGAGTACTCAAAGGAGTCGCTTTATCCATACTAAAGCGTTTCAACACCCTTCTGGTGTAATTTGATTGATGCACAAATATTCCATCTTGGAAATGCTCTATCTGGATCCCTAGACAAAATTTTGTCTTTCCAAGATCTTTCATTTCGAACTCTTCTTTCATATGAGTTCTTGCATCATCAATCTCTTTTTGAATTCCGATTATATTCAGGTCATCAACATAAACAACAATGATCACAAATCCTGATGTGGATTTCTTAATAAACACACAAGGGCATATCACATTGTTGACGTAACCTTTACTCAACAAATATTCACTTAAGCTATTATACCACATGCGTTCGGATTGTTTTAATCCGTAAAGTGATCGCTGTAATTTGATCGCACACATCTCTTTAGATGTTGATCTTAATGCTTCCGGCATTTTTAATCCCTCAGGGATTTTCATATATATCTCATTCTCCAGTGATCCATATAAATATGTTGTCACAACATCCATCAGATACATGTCTAAATTCATGGATGCTGCTAGACTCATTAAGAATCTGAAAGTTATTGCATCCATTACCGGGGAATATGTTTCTTCATAATCAATTCCCGGTCTTTGAGAAAAACCTTGAGCCACAAGCCTTGCTTTATACCTTGTGACCTTATTTTTCTCATTTCTTTTTCTTACAAACACCCATTTGTATCCAACGGGCATTACATGCTCTGGTGTTGTGACAATAGGTCCAAAAACTTTTCTTTTATTCAGGGAGAATAATTCTGTTTCAATGGCCATTTTTCATTTCTCCCAATCATGTCTTTTCTGACATTCTAATATGGACCTTGGATCTGGATCATCGCTTTCAAGCTCTTTATATACAGAAAATGAGAATATTCCATCAATATCCTTTATCTTATCTCTGATCCATAATTCTCCATTTTGGGCGTAATTGATAGAAATCTCATATTTTTCTGTTTCACATTCGTCTCCAAGACGAATCTCTTTATCTGGTTCTTCTAGAACCTTTTCACAAATGTCTTCAGGACATTTTTCTTTAAATGGTTCCTCTAGAACCTTTTTACTTTCTTCTCCCATATTCTTTTTCTTTCGGGGAATTTTATCTTTAGAACCCATCGGTCTCCCCCTCTTTAACTGAACTCTAGGTTCATTTGATATGTTCCCATCAATGTGTTCTTCAGGAACACTAATTCTGGATGGAACATTTGCTGCAGGGATATATGATTTTGTCACCCTCTTTGTATCTGTGAACGCATCAGGTAACTGATTTGCCATATTTTGCATATGTACAATTTTCTGAACTTTCATCTCACGTTGATTGGTAGGAGGATCAAGATAAGCCAAAGATTTTGTACACCAAGTGATATCTTTTGGTGATTCTCTCAATCCTCCCTCTAACGCGGGGAATTCATCTTCATTAAAATGGCAATCGGCCAAACGGGCCGTAAACATATCACCAGTTACTGGTTCAAGATACCTGATTATACTCGGTGACGTATAACCGATGTATATTCCCAATTTTCTTTGTGGTCCCATTTTTGTTCTTTGGGGTGGCGCTATAGGGACGTAGACCGCACACCCAAACACACGAAGATGGGATATATTTGGCTCCTGTCCAGATACCAATTGTAATGGAGAATACTCATTATATGCACTTGGCCGTATATGGATCAGGGCTGCTGCATGCAAAATAGCATGTCCTCATACATTAATTGGGAGCCTTGTTCTCAATATCAATGGCCTTGTAATCCATTGCAACCGTTTAATCAATGACTCAGCCATGCCATTTTGTGTATGAACATGCGGAACCGGATGTTCAACATCGATTTCCAATGACATACAATAATCATTAAACACTAGTAAAGTGAATTCACCAGCGTTATCCAGCCTTACTTTCTTTATAACATAATCAGGAAATTGTTCTCGCAACCTGATTATTTGGGTAATGAATTTAGCGAAAGCCGTATTTCGTGTGGCCAATAGACACACATGTGACCATCTACTAGATGCGTCAATCAAAACCATGAAATATTTAAACGGCCCGCATTGTGGGTGAATCGGTCCACATATATCACCATGTATTCTTTCTAAAAATTCTGGTGATTCATTCCCAACTTTGGCTGGTGATGGCCGAGTTACGAGTTTTCCTTGAGAACAAGCATTACATAAAAATTCGCCCATTTGTAATATTTTCTCGTTTTTCAACGGATGGCCATAGAATTTTACACAATCTTTCTCATCATGACTGAACCAGGATGGCCTAACCTTTCATGCCAAACTTTAAATGTACTAGTAAACTTCTGGTTTACTGTAATATATGATTCAGTCATATTTATTTTTGTGCAATATAATCCAGATGATAACATTTTCAATTCTTCCAATATATGTTTCCTCTCTGATGTAATGCAAAGATATTCAATGCCATTCTTATTCATAGTCTCTATATGATATCCATTTCCGCGGATATCTTTGAAACTTAATAAGTTTCTGTAAGACTTAGGGGAATATAATGCCTCATTTATCTTAAACTTTGTTTCCTTTGGCATTGAAAAACTGACTCTTCCAGAGCCCATAATAATTTTTGCATTACCAGATATCGTATTCACGCTTTCAGCGGAATCACTTATTTTGAGACTGGAGAAATACTTTTTATCTTTAATAATCGTGTGTGTTGTAGCACTGTCTGCCAGACATATTTCTCCATTCATAGTCTCAAATTCTGGCAT